CTCTCTCTCTCTCTCTCTCTCTCTCTCTCTCTCTCTCTCTCTCTCTCATACCTGACTTTTTTCCCTGTGTATACCCGTTATCTCTTACACTTTCTAGCAGCAAAATGATTTTAGCAAGATCGTGGGCCAATGAGGCAGTCAATACACCCTGTCCTCACACTCTCTCACACGCACCTTCATGGATTCACCCCCCCATTCATTACAGGCTTACCCACAAATTATAATATAATAAATACATTAATATTAAGTTAAATGCATATATTAGGCATATCCATACATGTAATGACATCCATTTTAATTCAATATATTTCATATAACACTAAGACAATCTGTGTTTTGGAGTCATCTATACTAAATCCAGCATATTTTCCCATTCACGTTCTCTACAAGTGAAAACACATTTGCTATATTCTAATTGTTTCCATATATGGATAAACACGTAAAATCCCAGCTTCCAAGAGACAGAGTTAAGCTCACGCATGATCGTTGAAACGGATGCCTGTGACATGATGAGGTCATGTGTCTGGAGATAAAACGCGGCCCACAGGTTCAGAAATGTGAGAGATCAAAGTGTTAAGGGTGTATATGCTCATATGCAGCCCCGCGTGGCTTCTACAGCAGTGGTGGCATTCTGATTACACCCTAATTAAGACAGTGAAAGCAGAGAAGCACCATTGCAATGGTGTAATTATGGAGATCGATGGTTCATGTCTTCTTTCTTTTTTTTTCAATACGCAAAACCCACGCAATTTTTGAGTGACTAATTGAAACATACCTCTTCTACGTGCTGGGAAGACATTTACTCACCTGACCACTATATTGCACAGAATCCATGTGAAAATGGAAATGAGCAAAAATCAATAAAATCCCATAACACATCGGCAGCAAGACAAATTGAAACAATAAGAGAGTCTGCCCAAAATACACTGAGGAATGTCAGGATGAATGCCCCCAAAAGAGAGAAAACACCCACAGCAAAAAGAAGAGGGGAAAAAAGAGGCAACAGCATTTGGTCAGAAGGGAGGGAGGAAAAAATGGAAATGATAGCATATGAGATACCTCAGAAAATCTAATCGATCCGACAGCGTGTGAAGGGTGAGAAGCACCGTCTCCAGACTCCTCCGCGGACTCCTCCTTGGGGTCCCTGTCCGCCTCAGGCAACTTCCTTGCGGAGCTCAGCAGTTTCCCCCACAAATATCAGCCCTCCTGGAGTGAGATTCTCCCCCCCCCCCCCCCTCATACACCAGCAAAGACAATTATACCATCCACAAGATGAAGACACGAAGAGGGAAAAAAAAACAAAAAAGAAGATATATATATATGTATATATATACAGCCGATATTTAAAAGTGCTCCGTCGTGATCAGCAGAGCTGATTTTAGGGGTGAAAATGCAATTATTAACCCCGCACTTGTTTAAGGTGGCAGCAGAGGAAGGCTGCCTGTAATGAAGTCAATACCCAAGAATGAGTCTCAGATACAGAGAGAGGGAGAGAGCGAGAGACGGGGGGAGAGAAAGAGAGAGAGAGAGAGCAGAGGAATTCCTCATACACGGAATATGACAGCCATGATCAATAATGTTGGCAAAACGCACCTGATTTGTATCCATGGTCCTCGCTAAGCTCCCCGCACTTTTGCGCACGTAAAACCCTTTCCGCGAAAGTCCGCGCGCGCTCACTCCTCTCCAGCTCCTCCGGTCGTCGGTGCTGAAAGGGACAGCGCACGACTCTCCACAGCCGGAATAGAGACCCCACCCACACCCCCACACACACACACACACACACACACACACACACACACACACACACACACACACACACACACACACACACACACACACACACTACATGGAACATATGTATCCCAGGCATCGAGTCCAGCCCACCCGCAACAACTCATCGTCTAATTGCACCCACTGTCGTCCAGCGGAGTCCACACATTCAATCAAGTGTATTACCAATCCATCGGATCGATAGTTTCCACGGTAGAGGGTTTGGTTATTTGAACACATTAATAAGTCATCAAAAATATGCTCACACAGGCGTTGCGCCACACTCTTTAATTGCCTGATCTTAAATCCATTTTAACTGCGCCCATTGCCCCCCCCCCCCCCTTGTAAAACCATAGCGCCGTGGCCCTTTGTGGTGAATGGAATTAAATATATGAACCGCATCCCATCTGCTGTGTAATAACAATTTGATAAGCTGTGTGGTGTGAGAAACCAAGCAATCGAAACAGACCCGGGTGTTCTCTCGTGTGACAACGGGGGAAGATGTGCGCAACACGTCCAATTTGGGGCTTCGCCGCTGCGGCGGATGGAGGAGGGGGGGAGGCACGCGGAGCAATGGCGCCATCTCGCGGCAATAGTTGCGTTATTGCAACAGAAGAAAAAAAACAACACCCAATAATGACCTTTGTGGCACGTCAGAGAATTTGGAATCTTTTCTTTTTTATGAACAGGTAAATCGGCGGTTGAAGAATGTAACTTATACATGTACTGTAGTACAGTTTGGAGGTACTTGTACTCTAAGTACTTCCAATTAATGCTACCTAATAGTACTTCTACTTCACTACATTTCAGAGGGAAATTGTGTACATTTTACTGCTTTATCTGACAGTTTAATAATTCATAATTTACAAAAACAATAGCACACTAAAAATATGATCAGTTCATAATAACAATCATTACAATGTGATGAATTATATCAAACTACAGCATACAGGCTGTATAGCACTTTGTGTGGACCATCACGGGTCAGCGGGTTCACAACTTATTTTTGGGGATGTGAAATTAAAAATCTCAAAAAAATAATTCCTGAGAAGGCAAATGAAATCCCCTCTCTGCACAAGCAGTAAACAAACATGATCGATTGAAGTATATGACTCGTGAAAAAACAAAAACTCCCCGGTGAGGTTTGAAGCAGTACATATTTATTCATTGAGTGGTTGCTTTTCAACATTCTTGTCACATCTGAAAGGCTTCTCTAGAAGGTGAGCTTAAGAACACATTACAGCCGATGAGGAAAAGAAATGACGAGATTTAAAAACAAAACAAAACAAAGAGTCTCCTACGGTTTGAATTCTCTTCGCACGTTCCAACAACAACAAAAAACCTCCTTGAAAAACAAGGGAATGCGACGCAAACAAAGACAACTAATCGTGGAACGACGCAAACCTGCCTCGGCATTAACCGGCGGCGGAGCATCAACTAGTCGGACACGTCAGAAGCATATGGGCAACCGACGGTTAAGTACAAGTCAATAACTAGTGTGACTATTAGAACTATTATTTATAATCCATATATACATGTTCTCAAGACCGTGTCGCAGTAGCGCTTTCACTTATAAAAAATAAAGTTTGGTCTTTCCTTTCCTTTTTCTGCTTTTGTTCCATTTCATGGCTTTTCTCTTTGAACATTAAGATATATCTACATTTGGTCTTCCTCGATCACGCTTGTGCCAGTGTTTCAAAGACTACCTCGGGGTACCCGTCGCTGTCATCAAACAAATGCAGCCCCCCCCCCCCCTCTTTTAAGTTTGAGTACAATTGTTGTGAATGGAACAAAGAAGTTCAATGTAAACTTTTACCTTTTGATAACAGAACTGTTGAGCTTAGCAGGGCCTCGTGTGACAGCCTCCCTGCTGTTTTGGCCCTTTGTAAATAAGGAGGATTAGCACCCGAACACCTGCTGCTCATAGGCACTACAGCGGAGAGACGTGTCGCCTCGGGGTCAGCTTCCTGCTTCGTGACAAGCAAGATGACCGCGGTCGATATTTCGTTGAACAGAGAAAACAAATACTTCCAGTTAATGGTTTCCACGGCTGTTACTGCAACACCAACAGCAACCTGACCGCGAAAAAATATGCATTCAAACACAGATTACTAATTGATATTTTTGTGCAATCCCATATTTTCTGCTCCCTGTCAATTAGAGTCTCACACGTTAACACATCTCTGCATGTGGGGGGGGTAATAATGGTGCCAATTTGATAGTGTGAATGTTTTGACCATGTTAGTGCACCTTAGAGGTAGCAGTCAAACTGAGCTGTTATATTATAAGATAATATAATTAATGTGATTTCATCTACTGTGCATTTGTAAAAATGTTAAATCATAACTGTGTGGCCTTGTTTTGTTTCATACCTTCATACTTTATGCCATCTGTTAATATATGGAGAGAAAACAGGGTCGATCAGAGGATTTCTTTCTAAGCGAACACACAATTTTTAAGGGAAAAATATACTTTGGGGTTTCCTTTAACTCAACTACTCCCTGTAAATAATAAACGATTCACTCCAGTTGCTTTTGGTCACTACAGAGCAGATATAACAAAATCAGACTATTGACTGCAGGCATGAAGAATATTACAAGTGGACTTTTGATCAGTTTGCTTCTCAGTAGAAACACTTACACGAGAAGATAAAGGCGAGCAGCCTTCTGAAGCCGCAGAGGTGGAAACACTGACAGCAGATCACAACTGTCCTCCGACTGTCAGCGGGAAATGAAGGAGGGGAAAAAACATATTATCTGTTGGTCAAACATAATGTTGAGCAAGTGGTCTTGAATGTATCCCTAACACCCTAAAAACACTATAGAAGTTGTGAGCATACAGAAAAGTGGCCAAGGACCCACATATGTTTTGTGTATCTGTTTGGGAATGCAACGGTCCAATCAAGTTCTGCTTTCTCCAAAAAAAGAAAAAAAATTCAACAATTAGGTTTCCAGTCGATTTTCTGTGGAGGTCACGATCCAGTTCTGATCTCACACACACACACACACACACACACACACACACACACACACACACACACACACACACACACACACACACACACACACACACACACTACAAATCAGCCACCTGCCTTTGGATCTATACACATGCCGTCGTAGGTAAATATATACTGTATACAGTAGCAGTGAGTCTTCTATTCACAACAGTCTCTCTGTGGATAGCAGCGCGACCGTCCAGCAAGCTGGCTGGCTTCAAAATTAAACTATACAAAAAAAAAAAGAAAATGTCCGATACCAACAATATATTTGGTTCTGAAGCAAAAGGTGGAAATCCGTTGTACTTCACTCCTGTATCGTACTCCTTCTGTTTGTTTCTTTCATCTCTGCTCTGTGCTCCTTCCGTTCGTCCATCAGTTTTGATTGGCTTCTTCATTGTTAGAGGCTAGCTGGTCCATTATCCCCAGCTGACTGTGAGCAGAGAGAGAGAGAGAGAGAGAGAGAGAGAGAGAGAGAGAAAGAGAGAGAGAGAGAGAGAGAGAGAAGAAGAAGAAGAAGAAGAAGAGTGATAAGGAAAGAGAAGAACAAGAGGAAGAATAGAGTCGAGAGTAAGGGGAAAGATCAAGAGAGAAAAAGAAGGGAAGAAAGAGGAAAGATCCAGGAAAAAAAGAGCAACAATTAGAAAAGTGGAAGATCTCTTGTGAGCAGTGTGATACACGGAAAAGTAAAGCGAGAACGTAGGAAACAGCTGCTTAACGTGCTCAGTGGTCAATTAAAGCCTGCAGAATGATTGTGGTGTCTTATCTTTGCCCAAGGGAATGGTCTTCTACACAAACATACACACACCTCTCTCGTAACAAGCACACACACACACACACACACACACACACACACACACAAAGTTGCTCAAATACACACCACACAGCCGCCTCGCTTTGTGGTTTGTGACTACACAGCAGCAGCAGCAGCAGAGAGAAAACAAGACGGGAAGAAATCCAGTGCAACTCGAGAGAAAACAGAGAGCAAAATGAGAGGAGGAGTAGACAGCGTCCCCGTACAGCAGGTACACCTGTGTGTTCTTACGGTGTGTGTGTGCTTCACCAGACCAGGGATTTGGAGCGGGTGCTGACTCCTTTCCTCCTGCTGGCGGCCGCCGTCACCGCGTTGCGATGACTTCGCTTGTGAGACTCCAGGTACAGCTGAGAGAACGAGTGGAAGACAAGAGCAGTACTTTAAATAGATCCACACAGTGCACAGATACACGCTACAGTTCATTACATGGATCAAACTAGCAGCTGAGACATCTTTAATGTCACGTGTGTGCAGAATGCAGACAATGAGAAGGTTGTCAGTAATTGAAAAATCAAATACCTTCTTGGCAAAGGCCCGTCCACACTGGTCACAGGCGTGGAGGGAGAAATTCTTGGTGACTCGGACTTCCGTGGAGGACGACGACCCCGTGCCGCTGCTCTCTGACGGGGCGTCATGCCGCCGGGTGTGTGGGGTGTGGCTGCTGGGCGGGACGGTGGAGGAGGAGTTGCGTTGGTGTGTGTGTTTCTCACTGCGGCGGGTCAGCGGGGGGCTGAGGGGGCGAGGCTGGTGGGTCTGCTGCCTCTCCTGCTTACGGGTGACAGGAGGGGACGGGGCCAACGCTGGCGATGAGACGTCCTGCTGCTTCCGAGTGACGGGGGCAGCAGGCTGGACGGAGGAAGAGGAAGTGGAGGAGGAGGAAGAGGAGGAGGAAGCTGACGAGGTGGTGGGCGCCGCTGTGGAGCACTCTTGCTTGCGAGTGACAGGAGGCGAAGGAGGGGAGGAGGACGACGAAGAAGCGTGACGCCCATTCACTTCCTCTTTGACGCCGCCTGGCCTCTTGTTGGGGGTCGGAGTGCTGAGGACGACCTCGGCTAACCTCTTCACCGCCCGGCTCTCCAGTTTGGGCATGATCTTGCCGAGGTACGCGGACGACTTCTTGTGGACCACCGTCACGTGACGCAGGACGTCGCGTTTGCGGCGCGACTCGTAGCGACAGAGGGGGCAGCGGTAGAACTTAATGAAGATGTCGTTACCGTCCGTGTGCAGCTCGATGTGCTTGGTTAGGTTCTGGCGGGAGCTGAACTGCCGCTTGCACAGTTTGCAGAAGAGCTGCTTGAAGTCGAAACCCACTGACAGTTTGGTTGTTTTTGCGAGCCCGCCCCCGGCGGACGTGTTGTTGCCACGCAAGGATGATGAAGGTACGGACGCCGTCATCTTTGGGCTCAACGGGGCCTCCTCTACCTTCACCTTCGGAGCGGTCTGTGCCACGGGAACAGATTTAGCCGGCACGGGGCTCTCGCTAGGAGACGGGGCCGGACTGCTTTCGGCCTCCTCTTCCTCTTCCTCTTCCTCTTCCTCTTCCTCCTTCTCATCCTCCTCGTCTTCATCTGAGGGTTCGACTGCCTCCTCTTTCACGCGGACATTGTTGCTTGGGCCTACGCTAGCGTCGCTACTGCTAGGAGTGGCTGCCGGAGTAGAGGGGGCTGGCGTGGTCGCGGGCTTGTTACTTTTCATGCTGAATATTTTGTGGACAATACGCATGTGCCTCTTCAACATGAGCTGAAATACACACAAGAATTTGAAAAATGAATATATTTTCCTCCACAATCATTACAACCAATTTAAGATGTTAAACAGAACATCTCTTCCTGCTTGCACCTGAGACTTTTAAGACAGCAAAAGCTAGAAAGGTTTGAGGCTGCCTGTAGGACAACAGACCAACCTGAGAGCTGTAGTTCCTCTTGCAGACCGTGCAGCGACACGAGGCCGGGGTCGCCTGTGGAGAGGCAGGGGGCTGACTCTGTGGTTTGGACGGGGTTTGGTTCGAAGGCGTTGTCTTAGGGGTCACGGGGGTGGTCTTGGAGTTGCTGCTGCGTGTTGGAGAGGAATTGTTGCTCTTCCTGGGGGGTGTGGCCTCCAGAGAGAAGGGCTGGCCAGGCCGCGAGGCGATGTTGGGTGTGATGGCGTCCCTCCGTAGGCCGCGATGCACCTCGTCGAAATGACGACGTACGTTGGCTTTGGTGGCGAAGGATTTGAAACACACCGGGCAGGACTTTCCAGTGGGGGTGCTCAGAGTCCTTGGCCGGCCTTCAGCAGCAACAACAACAACAACGTTTGTCGTTAGTTTAATATGTCAACCTCTTTGTTATGGTGGGTTCCTAAATCACCACTTTCAATCTTTGTCTTTGAATGAACTCTTACCTTTCACCATAGAGAGCAGGCTTGTGGGAACTGTGCGCGTCTCTGTGAACTTCCGGAGCTCTTCGAGTTTGCTCTGGTGCATTTTGCGGCAGTGACGTCGGATGCTGCGGCGCGAGTTAAAGTCCTGACCGCAGAGACAACAGGAGATCGTCACATCCTCAACCTGGACGGGAGGGAGAGAACCAAGAGGAGAGAGATTGACTGAGTGTGATAAACAAGGCAATGTGGGAAACTAGATCAACCTTTAGCATCTGAGAACGCATCATGTCTCAGCAAAGAAAGGTATTTCTATCCAGTCACCTACCCCACTCGTGGACGCCTCGTCCTCAGGCTGTGGCTGCTCCTCGTTGGCCTCCTCCTCGGCCTCCCCTTTCTTCTGTCCCAGGCTGCTGTGGCTCTCTGGCCCTCCGAGCTGGCTCGGCTGGTTGTTGTCCACGCCCTCCGCCGATTCTCCTTCCCACGCTACCGGACTCTCTCTGGCACTGTGAAGGATGTCGAGACTAAACAGTCAGAGACACGGGGACAGCTGGGGGAAGCCTAAAAACCCCCGCTCGCGTGGTGAGAGCTTTAGATGACAAGAAGTCGGGTCCATAGAGACCACATTGCACAAACTGGATTTGTGTTCATGACGAGTGTTGTGCTCCTCTATGGAAAAACGAACCAAATTGGCATAGCACCTACCTGGGTGTGTGCGATGGGAATCTAGCCAGCTCCTCCTCTGTGGAGAGGTACTGGAACACGGCCTTGTTGGTGGTCTGAATGGGCTCCAGGCGGACCACGTAGTCCGGGACTCTGGGATATATGGCTTCCAATAAATCCTTCATGGCTGCGCTCTGTCTGTCATCCCCCGATGAACCTATCAAATGAGAAACAATCAAAAATAAATAAATGCGAACATTTAAAACAAGCATTAAAGTAACGAGTAAAAATTAAGTTACGTCCTTATTATTAACAATAATGCGTTTACTCGTACAAAACTATGGCCAGAACAAGCCTCTCTAAAGCTTCCTTTATGTGGACATTCCTCTTTGTTTACAGCAGGATGAAGAGAGGATGGAAAGAGAGGAACTGTATTTTACAGGCACTTTAAAAATGGACCACAAATCCTCGCTGGAGTCTGCACTGTCGGGGCTCGATTATTAGTAACCACACAATTGATGCCCAGCGTCTCAATGCTGAAAAACAGACACCAATTAAAGTCATTTATCAAAATAACATTATGCTACACTTTCAGTCACTGGAAATGGACTCTTGATTGAGAATAATTAAGCCGATGGACAACTTAATTAAACACGCAAGCAGGTGGAATGAATTCATTTTTTTAACAACGACAATCGCGAAAGTGGATAAAACAGTGTGAAAATATAATTGACCGTTTGTGTTGACATTGATTTCTCTTTTAGGAGGAGAGGAGAGTTAGAAGAGAGAAGAGTCTCCCAACACGTCTGAGCAGCACAGAATAGAGGTGTGGACACATTCGGTGGCTAATAAGAAGTAGATAAAAACACAAATGCTGCCACATCAAAGCCAATTCCCTTTGTGATACGTGGAGAGTGAGCGAAACGACTGATGGATTGAACATGTTACAGTGTGCATGCGAGCTTGTGTGCAAAGGAATAAAAAAAGAGTGCTGTGTGCAGACAGAGGGGATAAGAGGGGAGTAATGAGTAGGCGACAGATGGAGAGGAAGAATATGAAAGTAAAATGTGGAGAAGCCTGAGGAGATGTGAAAGTAATCAATGATTCTGTATATAGGTGTGTGTGTGTGTGTGTGTGGTGAGCTCAAGTCAGTTTGATTCCTGCCGTGTTCAAGGAGTCTCTGTTTGTCTGTTTGATGTGATCGGTACAAATCTGCATGTGCATGTTCTCAGCATGCACACAGGTTCTGGCCTTGACTCGGTGCTGTATCACTAACCGTCGGGCTCAGGCAGCTGTGACAGGCAGTAGTACTCTTTGTGAGTGATGAGGTTGGGCAGGCCTCTGAACAGACTGCGACACAGTTTGCACTCAAAGATGGTGTCCACCTCCTTCAGCAGCATGTGCTTCAGCTGGCTGGTGCCTGCGAGAGAAAAGAGAAAAGCAGCGACGATTACCTTTAGTGATTCCAGGGAGAATTATAGGACATATTACCATATCACATACAGACTATCGCACAATTCATTGCAAAAAAAAAAAAAATCGAATTCTCCATATTTCCAGTGTTGAGCATGCGAGGAAAACAAAGGTGTTTTTCACAAATTCAAGGTAACACAGGCTGAGTAATTGATATACGAATGATCATTCTGGGGGTGAAGTATTCCTTTAAACAGAGAGGAGATGATCAATTCCAGTCTGTATAAAATGCCCAAAAGGTACATTTTTCTGACATTTCCACTGACATTTTAAAGGAGCCAGATGATGATTGCATCACTGCTGTCATCACCTTCCCTTTGTTCCGGTGTTGTTGTGAGCATGCCGACAAGTTTCATGCAAAATCACTGAGTAAGAACCGTTAGGGTGACTCACACAGATGTCCGTACCTTCGTGATGTCACACACAAAATGCACAAAACGCACATTGTTATGTCCTCCCGCGTCTGTATTTCTTTTTTTTTTTCCTCTTTCAGAACTGTGTGTCCTTGGCATCTATTGCTCTTTTGCCACTGGCGCAATAAGGATGACAGCAGGAGATAATCACGCTGACCCACAAAATGTTGGCTCTGCCTGGGAGCAGTGGCAACCAATGAGTGCCTCAACCCTTGAAGGAGCTTTTGGTTATCGCACTAAAACTCAACTCGGCTGGCTCACAACATGCGACGTGTGGACGACGAGAGAATAAGATGCTTTGCATACTTCAAGAGCTCAGGAATCGGAGCTGTTGGAGCTGCTGTTAAAGAACGAATGGGTCTGCATCTTGGTGGTTCAGTTTTAGATGCTGCCAGATATAAAGACTGAGATCATTTCTGTCATTGGCAAAAACACTTGCGCCGGGTCTGCATCATAAATAATAATAAATACAAAAAACACACAGACACGAACCTGAGCGGAAGCATTCAATTATCTGCTGAATGCCAGATTTGGAGGTCTGTAGCGGCTGCTGGAGCAGAGGAGGATCTCCGGGCTCCACACAGAGACCTGGAGAGAGAGAGACACAGATTGCTTTTTTTAATCAAAGCCGGCATTTAATTACATGAGAGGATGACAGACCTGGAGAAACACACACACCGTCACCTGGGGATATGGGGGACCTGGTAGGACACAAAGTATACTGCAGAGGGGGGTCCAACAGTGTTCAGAGTCTGTGTAGTGTTTGATTCGACCTAAACAGTAATGTGACCAGGAGGAAGTGTACTGATGTGTATTGGAAAATGTTTTGCTTTGGCTCGACCTCAATCATCAGAGAGGGCGGGGTCAGCAGCACCGCGGTCCTGGTGCTGCTCGGGATTTCATTTGATTCACTGACCCGCTTTTACGCCATCTTCACTTTTGATCCTTTGATTGCCACAATAACACAGTGAGGTCATCACGTTTCACCCTTCATGTTTCTGGTTCCTTGTACACTCTGTTGATCTAGGGTTGCTCTCCCTGCAACCCGTACTAGTCCATAACAGGCCGAAAATAAAAAATTAAATAATCTAGCATTTTAAGGGCTATTTAAGGGCCAACATTTACATTGATCCTTTGGACGAAACATTTAAAATAAAATAGCAGGCGTGGGTCCTGGTGCAAGCTGACTGTGTCTCCATGATGACTGGGATCACCGGGAGGGGAGGTAAAGTGCTCTCATTCTACCCGTTCTCATGCATTTTCTTTAATTCAGCGTCAATGCTATGTTAACATGTCATGGCAACGGGCTAACAAACAGAGACGTAAACAGCAAGAGCAGACCGATTACACTCACACACAGCACCACAGACCTCACGTAGCTACGTCTAGTTTCCAACATTATATTGATGTAAGAGAAGGTAACCGGGAGAACAATCATTTAAGCTGCAACAAAAAGAGCATTTTGTAACAGAGATGTCGGGGACATTTTCGGACCTAGCACCTTGAATTAACGCCAACATAAATATTTAATGACTTATTTCTAATCAAAGATTAAATTACTTCTCGAGACTGGTGCACTTTTAGAGTCTTGTTGGCCCCATATCTGCTTAAAAGAACACAAACCCACACTACAGGGTAAACAGTGCAACATGACAGAGTGTGTGTGTGTGTCTGTGACTGAAGAAAAAAAACAGCAGACAGACTGACACACCCACTAAGACGCAGACAGAAAGAGAGCTGGAAGTGTGAATGACAACTGTGTGAGTGGGTGTGTCAGAGAGAGAGATGGAGATTATGTATGAATGTGTGGCAGAATGCCCCCCCCCCCCCCCACCTCTCCTCGGCTATAATCCAAGCGGGGCAGGTCAACGACCCGCCGACCTCCCCCCCCCCTCTGCCAGAAGGTCAAAGATCAGCCAATCAGAAACACCGGTCCACACAAACAGCTTCCCTTTACTATGAGTGGCGCCTTCCTTTAGCAGCACTGTTAGATTTGCATGTGAATCAAGACATCTGCATCTGTTTTTAGAGGAAAGCTACGGTGAAGGAAAAGCAGAGAGGAATATGGGTAAGCCAGGCCAAAAGGAAGGAAGGAAGGAAACATGTCAGCATTCAGGAGAAAACATTACATCGTCAAAAATAATAGCCATGTAGTAGATTTTATAATCCAATATCAATAGGATAGCTCGGCTTCAGGGTCAGGAAACACACGAGCTGTCAACTGAGGGAATAAATCAAAGCGGGCGGCGCAGACAGCCAGTAGCCTCAAGACAAGATCAACCTCAGCAACATTTCTATGGATGAAGTGGTTACACCCCGGATAGCAATGTATCCATTCATTCAAGCAACATCGTTTAAGAATCTTCTTTTCTTTTTCTAATACAAATTTTACGTTATTTTCATTATGTTAGGCCGAGCAGCAGTGCACGCTGAACGCAGAGCCTCCTCCGGTTTCCATTTCCTCACACACACACACACCATGTGATGTCATCCTCTGACACTCTGACGGTAAAGCTCCACTAGAGGCTGACAGACAGTTTTAGCCAGGAGGGGGATGAATCAAAAGCAGCAGGAAGTGCAGTGGGAGGAAAACTTCACCCACCTGTGTTATGACCACCGCTGGCCTCGGTCTGGCAGATCTGGTCCCTGGTCGTGCCGGTGCCGCTCCCGTGCGACTCGGGCAGCAGAGGGGGGATGGGCTTCCACAGAGGCTTGGCCTGGAGCTGGGCCGCGGTGTCGTCCTTGTCCTGGACTTCCATCGGAGTCTCCGTCTGGTCCGAGTTCTCCGACGGCGCCTCAGGCGGAGCGGAGGTCTGGAGTTGGGCTTGATCGGTGGACTGCTCTCCTCCTCGGGGCTCCTCCGGTGGTGGGTGCTGGGGGGCTGGCTGGAGCGGGACTTCCTCCATCTCTGTCTGACCAGCAGCCCTCTGTGGGACCAGAAGCAGACATGAGGATATGAGCTACAGAGAAAGCATGGTGCAGATCCAGACACAAGGAGGAAAAGGACTCAAAGTAATGCCATTATAGTGTCTTTGTAGAACAACATGTTGCATCTAAAAACTGGAAAATGCCAGCTGTGCTAATTTCATCCACTTTTTTTAAAATCATCCAAGGTGCTTGAGACGTTGCGCTCCTGTTGCACCTACCGTTACTAAGCAACCCTAACCTGCGCGCTGTGATTGCGGTGATGATGAAGCTGTGGGAATGTAGCGATAAGCCTCACTGACTAAACTAAACAAAGTCAGAACAAATGAATGGATTCGTAGCACTGTGAATCCCTCACAGTAGCTTTACTGCTCGATTTGGATGAACTTTCAACCAGATGTTGAGACGTCCTGTGTCCGTGGGACGGATTGTAAATGTCGAGGTAGTACTGCACTAAAACGATGAACTTGAAACAAAAGAAAGGCGCTTGGGAAAGTTTGCGTGCTGCGTCTAGGTGGACAACAACGTATTATCTTTCAGACGATAATCTCAGATGTGTCGGTGGTGAGGGAAGCAGCAGACATTGCTGTCTGCCACAGTGAATAGTTTCCTCACACTGCCACTAGGAGGCGCCAAAGTCAGAAATGTTCAAAGTCAACACATAGCGTATTTAAGAAAGAGAGACGCTAACAATCTCGTTCAAATGAGGAGTAGATAAAACACACACACACAAATGGATCATGAATAAATAAAGAAACACTGGCATGAACCCAAGGGAGGACAGAGTGCCCATCTTAGATGAAATGAATCTACACCCTTTGCTGGAAAAACAAAATCCATATCGTTGGGCAGAATGAGGTGTCACAGCAAGTGTGTGTGTGTGTGTGTGTGTGTGTGTTGTCATGTCTCCTGTGCACCCACAGACTTTGTAGGGGGACATTAACCTTGTCACACAGAGCCACCCTTCAGCAGATAAGTGACTCCACACCAACCCTCCCATGTGCGCATGTACATCCGCCTTTGCGAGTGTGTTGTCCGTGTGTGTGTGTGTGTGTGTGTGTGTAGCTGTGTCTCTTGACCAGACCTCCCCGGTCTTTTCTCCCTTCCCACCCACCGATTTATCCTCATTTTCTCTCCGTGTCCGTCTCCCTCACCCATCGCGTCCCCCGCTGTCCTTGAAGAGGGATAAATGACTCCGCCGCTCGGACGCGTTACAGCACATCAGCGAGGACAAGTGGGCCACTTGGACACAAACGCACTGTGCATACCACGCGGCGTAATCAAATGACCGTTAAATAGCTGAACGGTGTGTTACGCTCAGCGAACCCATCCGTGCAACACACACGAACCATCACAGCCACTGAACACAAACACTGCTTACCAGTGGATCGTGCTCTTTAGGAAAATAATGAAACCTATTTCATTCAAATCTAAAATGTCTGTGTTACTATGGCAAGAAAAACAAAACCTCCAAGATCTTGACTGTCAATCAACTATTCATGCCTCATGTTATTGTTCATTGAGAGGGGCTGAGCATGAAGCATGACAAGGGCACTGATTAGTAGGTGGACTCGCCATTAACTTCCACTTACTGCTCAATAAAACCACGAGGTGGAACAAAGAACACAGTGCTGAGACCTGCAGTAAACAGGGTGGATATTCTCAACTATTATTCAGTATTCACACATGTTCATATCAAATATCATATACCTTATATCAAAGTATAATCTCATCTGATGTTTTCATTATGATCCTGGAAACAAATACTGTCTGTCAAATAATAAATATCTGACAGACTGTAATGAATCCTTTCTGAACAAAGTGCATTACATTAAATGAGCAACAGCTGTCTCTGAGGTGCTTCCTAGAAGGGGAGTATGTGGATGCATCTCAATACTGTGACTTTCATCATATTCTCTGGTGTTTGAGCCCAAACTGTAAACCCCTCGTGGAGGTAAAGGCTGTGGCATAAACAGAGCAGGCTGTAATTCCCCTAAGAACAACAAAAAGTGTTAAGACATGAATAAATAAAGAAACAAAAGTATTTGCATACAGAGCTGAGGGTTAATGACCCGGGAGGTCGAGTCGGACATGTACATGTAGGAAGTATGTTTTCTACAGGCTGACAGTGAAGGGAGTGACACTAGACAATAACATCCAGGCATTGTAGTCGGGTTTGTTTCCAGTACCTCCAGTCTGCGGAGACAGTGGGCGCTCTTCCTCCTGGTGGACTTCTGGACCTTCACCATGTCTTCAAGAGGGGCCTTCTGCTCCAGCACACTCCTGCAGCCTGCAACAACAACAACCCACATGAGCCAAGGACTTCCACACTTCATGAAGCACTACTGCTGCTGGGTGTAGGGCTAACATATATGAAATACTTGTTCATGTCTATACCTGAGCTTCTCAAAATATAGAAATAGATACACTTATGTATAGATTAACACCAAATGGCTAGCCGTTACCTGTGTATCTGCAGTAGTTGTACTGCAGATACACGTACATATGTACACACAGAGCACCTGTTGCATTATTGTAAGGACAAGAAGATACAGCAGTAGTTATATACAACCTTATTGGAGCCCCACAGGTTATAGAAGCAGTGAAAATGTTAACATGTCTACATTCTCTTAACACCATTAGTGAAAAGTAACTCGGTACATGAACAGCTCATTTTGAGGTACTTGTACTTTACTTGAGTATTTCCATTTTATGAAGTTGTTCAAAATAAGTCCACCTTGACCAACTACAACATTAAAGTACCGCTTACATATTAATACATCAATAATTCAATAGCTTATCACCGACAGTAGCCACTCTGCATTATTATAATGGTGCATTGTTATACTACATTGTTACTTTGATTGTAAATGAGCCAAACCTCTCACACATCTGTAAGACATCACAAAGTGAGAGTCCTGGCAGGTTAGTGAGCAGCATGTCATTATATATTCTTATGTATCACAATGCAGTAAAGATACTCTGCTTACTGAGGGTGTGTTTTACTTTGATATATTCTCAGATGCACCAACCAGATCCCCTTCAGTTCAAACTATTTTACAAGTTAACGAAGTGGAAAACTACATTTAGTCCTAGAATCAAGGACAACGTTTCACTTCTGTTGCCAAACTGTACGACACATTTCTGTGCAGATACGTTGTGTGAAAACATGTAGAATGCATCAGAAAAAACTCTTTATGAGTTTACTAGCTGCTTATTTTAAAAAGGTCAGTAATTGTTACCCAGAATGCTAATTCGGCTGCTTGTCATATTGCTGACGGGACAATTAAACCCATGTTCCCCCCCCCTTACTGTGTTTGAGGCACACTAGGGAGTACTCTGGCCTTACCAACAAACACTAATGGTATCTGGGTTTGTCCCAGGGGACCTTGCAATGCTAGGAGCACTATTCCTGTGTCGGGGATCTGCATTAAAAACCAATATACGAACAAGTACTGTTGTAGCCAGCATGCATAAATATGCATACATGTATATATGAAGTACACGAGTCACTTCTGCTGCTTCTGAATTATGTGCTGGGATTTGGGGTCAACGTATAGCCTCCTTAGTTCTGCTTTATTACTCAGGGATATAACCAATGTCAGGATGGGTATTTACATTTATAGTTATATATATTTTATGTTGTATCCTCAGTAGAGTCTACTGGGCAACACATTCAAGACAGTGTTCATATGTAAAGCAGTCTATGAGCCCCCTTTATTATAATTACGTATCACTATTGAACCCTAACCTCCGACTTCATTAGAATCGATTTCTAGCACATCACCGGTGATGAAGTGTTTGATGCTGCCCTCTAATGGCTGTCTATGTTACAACAGCTTGGTCTGACAGCCACATGCACCTGACACTAGTTCAACATGATTTAGTAGCACGACGTCATGCTGAGCGGCACACGGCCATCATTATCTGTCACCAGGGTCAGCGGACCAACTGATAACTGAAAGAGAGAGAGGTGCTTCATGCAGTTTGTGTATAAACACCACAAGTGTCCTAAACTTATGGACATCTGGAATAAGCGGAGAAGCAAGACAACAAACAACTGAGCAGAATATCAGGGAAGCACTGATCTGTGATAATATCTCGTCTTCCAATTAAGGGGAAACTTAGATTACAAAGTGAACTGGAGCACGTGCAGCCTACAGTGAAGACACACTGATACAGCCAAACGTCTTCTGCATAGGCAGGCCTCCACTCGGGTCTATTTGTAGTCCCGCCTGATCTCCAGCAGGGGGAGACAAAGAGCACACTTCAAATGTTTTTTTCTAAAAGTTTTGTAGTCTGCTGATGACTCCAAAAAGACGAGACAGAGAGAGAACATGGGAACACAGGCAAGGGGCCACAGAGGGGGTTACCCCCAACGTATGTCTCACTACAATACAGCTGAACTGTTTCAATAACACGTGCACAGTCAGTACATGGGGCTCTGCTTGGCGAAGCAAAGAGGAGCAGGTCAGATGAACAAATTATCTTCCAGAACGCTGCCAACACAAAGACACCGCGTGCATGAAAAGACAGACGGACAGATCGCTCGTATTGCCTTGTGATGGGAAATGAAACACTTTGCAAGGTAACAGCTGTGTTACTCATGTACGCTCCTGAATAAAGAGGCGTCGTGTGATAAGGAAGAGTTTATGCACAGAATTAAAACTACTCAAAGCGTGTAGTTTGTCCCTGAATTTAGAAAAAAAAAAAGCGTAAAGTGTAAAACTAATTAAGAACGGTGCAATAAAATAACAGCAGCGGCTACTTGCAGTGATGGAGACGCACACAGTTGGAGCAGAGCGTCACGTGGAGAGCAGACAGTGGAACGTTCAAAACAAATGTGGGGGATGAACGTAGCTCTTGGCTTGTTGCGCACTACATTCAGCAGATTATATTCTACATAAAGTGTGGCAGGATCTGACACCGAGCACCACAAACCACAGTTGCATCAAACTATAAGGTGAAGACACCGGAGAGATGCTACAGGTGGAGGATGTGTTTGAGGTTTAACTGAAATCTAGACACAATTAATTTAAGAGGAACCATTAGATCAAAATAATTCAAATTCTAGAAAAATGAAGACGGATATTAATGCATTATGCACCTTTCCAGGTTCTATTTATATCAGGGAGGGAGATTAACACTAGCCATTAGCTATAATGGGAAATTAAGTGTGTCGACCCTACCGACCACTGAAGTCAGGAAAGGTTTTACTTCCTCATCTAACAGAAATAACAGACCATTTGAGTTGGAATAAGACTTTGGAGTGGACTCATCCCTCGGTTAGCCCTCTCCTCTCACAGCAAAGATCTGCCTCAGTAGATCTATGAGGGGTCTACATGCTCTCCTCATGTCTCATGTCCACTGTCTAAAGACATGGAGCTCTGCTGAACACTTAGCTTAAAGTGTGAGCTTGAGTGGAATCGATGCTCCCATGTGTTAGCCTGTTAGCCCTGTCGCCCCTGATGACCTGTTGATGGTGTTGATCAGCGGTTCACCTAAAGCGTGCTGAGATACAATCCAGCACCCTGTCAAACTAATGAGCAGGTACTAGAGATACATAATGATCACAGATAAGATGAGTTGAAAATGAAGAAGACCTCTATGCATCAATAAAACTTGTCTTTGACAGAAATCAATAAGCCTCGTGCAAGGTAGTGTTTGACTTCTCATCCTAAACCTCTCTCACATGTGTCTGTGAGTTTTGCTCATACGAGCGTTCCAACTCGTGTTCACCAAACTGTCCTGAACAAACTGGTCACCTGTTCATGACTCAGTGTGAACTTATGAGATTTGGTCATTATCATAAATCAAAAACATTACCCAGCATTGAAAGGAAGAGTTACTGCTCCAATGCAAGTATCTCGGGTCGTTGGTATAAATATTTTAAATGAATTAGAATTTCAGAATCAAACTCTAAATTCACTCAGGTTGAGGTGTTTAAAGTCAGACAAGTGTGTTTCCCTTGTGAAGAAAGGACACATCTTCTGCACTTGGCTGCACAGCTTCATGCCGAAGAGAAAATTCAGAGAATGCGGAGAAATTGGTGAATGCCACAGATTCTCTTAAATCACTTGTACGTGCCGTTTAATAACAAATTGTGACAGAATAACAAATGTCAAAAGAGTGCCTTTCATTACATCCACAGTGCCCTTTTACACGGTAATCAACTGCTGTGATTGTCCTGGGATACTTATTGGGAGTCTTATTTAATTGTGCAATGGCACCAAGAAGGTTGCAAATCCCAACCCAAGACCAACCGTCTAATTACTTTGCTGAGAAGGTGTTTCATAAAAACCTGACAGGTGCTGATCGGGGCTTAAAAAGCCCAGCGTAGACAACCGTCTGACCACATACACAACCCTTCCAGAGAGACTATATGTGCTACAAAAGGTTCAGAGCAAACACATTTAGACACACAAATGCGCCGATAATACGCTCGCACACTAACACGAGGGACTCTCCGGTTTCCGTAGCAACAGACAGCCGTGGTTGTGAAGTGGTGACTCGTGTTCGGACTCAGATAATGAGATCCAAGGGGTCCCGGGCTCAAACCCAGGACGGTGTTCATCCACGGTGCAGCCCCTCACTCTGCCGAACACTTCAGACGGGATGCTTTCTAATGATTTATTCCATTTCTGTAACGTTGAACATCCATCTTATTCCGCTCCAAACGTATACTGTTGTTTAGGTGTGGAATACTTGGAAAGCAGTGACTATTGATGTCCTGACCTTTGACTTTCAGGAATCAAACACATCCAAACAACAGCGGCAGAAAGAAATACATTGTTCTGGATGTCAAAGGATGTGCTGTGGAAATGTGAGGAAGAAAATACTTCGCTGTTCTACACGAGCTGAGAGACCAACTTCATAAAGATCAATGAAAACAGCTGATTTGAAAATGAACCCCTTTGTAGTACTTGATGGACAACTGTTGATGAGCAAGGTAACACGGGAACAATCGCTAAAAGATGAATAATATGAGCCTGTATGAAATGAATGGGCGAGATGTGACTGAATGCCTGAGGCAATAAAAAAATAAAAACATCTGAGACTGACGATCCTAAAAACTAATTATTTAAGGCTAAACAACAAGGCATCATCCTCTCCTCAGCGATACACAGTTATCACCCTGAACAGCCTGGTAACTGACCCGGCTTCATGGCTCAATTCAATCTATAATTTCCCAATTCGAATATTTGATCGTCCTAACACAAGTTCATTTTCACACACTGAGCCTTCTTAGCAACAACGCTAATTCCTGAGCTCAATAGTTCACAAATACACCCGATGACATCTTCTCCAATGTCACATACTTCATGAGCAAATATGTTTAAAGTCCATCTCCACTGATAATCCAGAATGAATTTTATTTATGCCAACCAGGAATCAATTTGTCAAAGTGCTTCCCTTTTGGGAACGCCTCTTATTTTAGGAGGAAAATCCCCGTTTGTCTTCTCAGAGGCAACAAATGAGGAGAACAGCACAACTTCCTCCTCTCTGGAGCCTCAAGGAACCATGAGCCTGTCATGTTTCATCATGTAAGAGGGTGCATAATATATATACAGCATATATACATATACTGTATGCTTGTATGCATGTTTGCTTTACATGTTTGCGTGGATCGAGAGCCAATAGATTGCCTGCCATCACCGCTGCCTCCTCCTAGTTATTTCCGATGGCAGCGTGGCGGTGGTCTGACGGGACTTCCTCCTAATGGAGGGACAACACAACACTCACTGATGTGATGCTGATTACTGGCAGACGCACCAGCGACACCACCTGACCACGAGGTAGGATGTGAACGACTGTGCGGCCTGCTGACAGAGTTCCCCCGCGCATCGCATTACCGAATGGTAGAGTCCGTGTTCTGTTTACTTCTGGTTCTCCTAAAGTTGGAAATCTAGGATACGATGACGCTGCTGTACTCGGGTCGCCTTTTCATTGTCGGCGTATCAAGTTAGACTTGACAAAAACAACAACGTATGTATAAAAGATAGATGGCATATGTTCTGAAAGCTGAACGACCACCACGTGTTTTCCCGAGGTATCACTATCCGAGTCCTCCAACAAGACTTTATCCTCACCCAGTGAGTCTGGCTGGCTGTAGTTTACGGCGTGTGTCAAATAGCACCTGAGGATGCTAGACATGCTGAACTGAGCTGACTGATGCACTTGACAACTGTAAAAAATACATTAACATAAATAAAATGCCACTGACTTCAGGAAGTGGTCACCCTGTATTTGTCTAATCGTACCTGCGGGTGACGGTAATGTCCCATGTGACAACATTAACACAACAACAACACGTGATCTCATGTGCAAACACACACACCAGTTGTGCGCGATATTGCGAGTGTGGGAATATCACACCACTGTATTTGGAGAACTCACAAATAATAATCACTGTGGCGACAAATTGTTCTCTGCACAGATTTCTTTTGCAAATAGAGAATTACCTGTGGTGGTGCACATACACACACACACACACACACACATATGCAGAGGTGTATGTGATGCATACACCAAGATTATACAAACACCAATTCAGCCTCCAAAAGAGCAACTTTCAGTATCTACAAAAATGAAGTGTTCAACGAAGTTGAAACAGATTGAAACATAAGCTATTCTGAGGTCTGCAATAAGCTCCATCAGCTTGATTTACTGTGATGTACAAAGATTATTTTGAAAAAGCGAGCAACTGGGAATCCCTCACTGTACTAACCCTAACCATCAAAGAGTATGACGCAGCGTGCTGACTGACAGATAACATACAGTAGTTGACTTCCTTATTGACTGGCTGGACATCTTAATGTCCGTCCCCTCTGTTTACCTCCATGAGCGGCAGGTTAATGGGTTTGTTGACTGAATTAACTTAGCACACTGGTTTGATGAGATGACTCAGTGACGTGAACACAATAATACATCATTACACTGACTGAATCATGCGGTGACATCATTGAACTGTTGCAGTCAGCAGCCGCTCTGGTACACAGCGATGGTACCTGGGAAACTTTCATCAGGAGAGAGAGACAAACTCAGGTTACTAAAAACCCACGAGTCTCATGAGGTGACCGGAGGCCAGCTGAGGTCAAAAGAACGCTAACAACATTGTAAATATGGAGCAACATATATAAAAGTATAGAGGCCAGTGCTGGTAACTTCGGGCCAATCTGTCTTTCCATTTTATTTGTGTTCCTTATAACCTACTTTGTTATCTCCACTCATGTCCTAGTTACCCATTCATACTCCTCCTCAAGGTTAGACTGGCCATCTTTGCTGTGTCAGAAGTACGAACTGATTAAATAACTTGTCAACACATGTACAGTAGAGCCATCTCTACATTTGAATTTAGTCTGAGCCAGGTTCTCTGTCAATGTGCAATGCAAATCAAGTTTCATCAAACAATCATATCCTAAAATAACAGCCACATGCAGGCTCCAAGTTGCACCAATGAACCTTGAATTGAGCCGTACATTATCATAGATTGTTTTCTATGAATCTCTACCTTTGAGAATATATTTTCAAGGTGTGGGTATTAATCTGTATTCCTTGATTTGGTTTTAACTGCACCTGGAACATTAGTGGAGACACTGCCTGACTGAATCTGCAGACTTTTTTATCAAAGCACAGGAAGTGGATACTGTCACCTAGATGCAAATATATAGCTGAGCCACATACAACAGCATTAGGCAAGATTACAATAAGGTCCAATTAAATGAAATTGCACAGATTAAAATACTGCAGTTTAACATATTCAAACAGTTCAGTCATATTCTCTTAAAGCCAGATAATATATTTGAATGCTTACCATAGAATACTTTATATCAAGAAGTGTGAGTGTTACCAACCAACCGGTACAACTGATCATATATGAATAACATCTTTCCCCCTCAACATAACACTATACATGTTGTGCTTGCTGGCTGAATCTGCTCTTTGTAGTTCTGAGAATTTCGGGACTTTCTGCCTCGTGAGTAAGTTCTCTGAGCTGTGGTGGATGAAACCATGCGCAGTGCCCAAAAGCGCAACAGCAACAAATAAAACGTCCCTGGATATAAACGCCCTGCTCATCTCCATACGAGTAACGCGTGGCGCGCTGTGGATGCAACAACAACGACTTTTCAGTGTCCGAGACGTAATCCAGCCGTATTCTCTGCGCTGTTAGTGAAGGTTTTACGGTCACATCACGGTCCAGCGGAAAGACGTTTATCCACACTCGAGCGACTCCACGATAGCCACATGCACCGAGCGCCATGAGGGAGAGCCGGGCGGATATACTTAACTGTAGCGGGTTTAGCCAGCGTGTGTACGCATCCACTTACGCATCGCGGGCAGGGCGAGGAAACGTAACCATCCCGAGGAAACCGCGCGATCTTCCGCGTTAACACAGAATCCCAAGTCGGAGCACAACTGGAGAGTGGAAGCGCACGGCGATCGTTGCCGCCCGGGTCTGTGTCTATTGGTTTCCTTTCAGCTGGGGCAGCGTCAGCACACACACACACACGGTCTCCATTTGCAACTCCATCGCCCCCCATGGGCGTGCGAGGCCGCGGGCTGTGACGCAAATGGCACTGGGTGATTTGCAAATGACATATCTTCGTAATTCCGCGTCGCCACCGCGGGGACTGGTCCAAATCACGAGATATTACACACGAACATCCATCCGGTGGTGGGTAACGGGTAAATAAAGGCGGATGAGCGGTTCGCTCTACGGGGATGCGATTGCATAACTCAGGAAACTTAATAAAAATGTGCACGGGTCGAGCGATGTGCAGCCCCCCCGGCTGATGTTTTGTCGGATTGTTTCGGTTTGATCGCGATGGCCCGCGCCGTGACACTCGGCACGCGATCGGCCCTCGACTTTAGGTCACAGGAGGAACCAAGCGGAGCGTACACACGGGGAACCGAGTGGCCTCGCTATGGTGGATGTGTGGCCAGTGCTAGGACGCATGCACGTAGCTGACGGGGGAAGACAGGACAGCCGGTGTGGGACTTAGGACCGCATTCACAGGCCATAAAGGGCCCGCATGAATACTATTGTGCTCTTTTATCCAAGAGTCCCCAACTATTTACAAAAGGTTGGCCAACACGCACGCACGCACGCACGTACACACACACACACACACACATATCGCGGCGAAATGGTGGCGGCGGTTACAGCAGCTGCTGCCACTGTGCCCTGCGCAAAAGCAGCGAGCACAATCATTGCGCAGCGCCGGACTTCCCCAGTTTTGTGCAAACTATGTGATTCGTCCAAAATACTTTTATTTTTTTATCTCATTCAGGCTGTCCTCGTCTGGCGGGCAGCGAACCAGAGCGCAGGGCAGTCGCCATTCTCATGGCACGATTTGCATCGCCCCCATTATTCCCGAAAATCTCTTTTTACACGGTTATATTGTCCGCTTAAAAACCACTATTTTGAGCCACAATGGGACAGCTTGACTTGATCAAAGGAAAAGCCAAGTACAAAATGCAGCTTTCGAGCCGTAACAGTGAGGCCCCTCGTACGGATTGCAGCATGGCAGGGGAGTGCGGCGTAAAAATGAGCTAACCCGAATAAAATACACACAAAGACGTCCATCGCCACCCTGGTATTAACACCAAAGCACCCGTGGTCATGTGAGTTGAGCCTGGAGCCGGCGAGGATGGCGTTATTAGGAATATAAAACGCTGCGTTTTGCGGCTCCGTGCCACCTTTTCCAAGAAGCAGCTTGGCGCACAGGACCGGTGACCCTTCCATCTTTGCGCGTCCTTCTACCGAGCGAAACCACCAACTATCTCGCGTTTTGACGGTTTACTGTTGAATATAACACACTGCAGTAGGTGATTTCATCTTTGAGGGGGTAAACGCGACGTGTAAAGGCTGCTACAAGTCTCCGAAACTATCCCTCTCCCCGCCGCGGCCAGGCAGAAACAAGAGGGCGATGACGCCATTTTCTGCAAAAACAACCACGCTCGGGAAGCCAAAGCGAAGGAGGTTTAACCCGCTCCGCAGCCCTCTAGTCCCGCTGAAACGTATTCAAAACAAGTCCTTACCTTGTGAACGTTGGATGGGTGGTGGGATCGTGTGTTTGACGAGGTGAAACTACGCGGTCGCGGCTACTTCGTGTCCGGAGGTTTGTTTATTTCGCCTCCCAGCGTCCCCGGTTCACTCTGAACAAGTTCGTCTGCGAGCCGCTGTCTTTGTGCACCCAGAGGAGCCTCTCAGCATTGAAACCGGTCTCTGCGCAAAGGTGCACCCTCTACGTCCAATTCCAGCTAGAAATGTCGGTACTTCAGGGCGACACTGCGAAGAAAGGAAGGGTTTGACATCTTTCAATTGAGAAAAGTTCAAGTATTTTCAAGGTTTTAACCAAAGGCCACGGTTGTAGCGCCGATTTGTCCCCCCTCGCCCCCCAAACGCGCAACCTTTGAGGACACAGAGCTCTCCACAAGAGTCCACGACGCAGACGCAAAGATAACACCGGGGTGGATACACCCTTCCCAAAACTTCATAGGCTACAAAAGCTGAAATACTTTAAATCACCAATTAAATAAATACTCATTCGCCAGAGTAACAATTAGATGCATCAACTAAAAGTGAAGTTCATAACTTTGTGGGCAAAAGTAAATGGCATCTACACGTAAAAAATATAGGCCGAGACATTTGGTATATTGTATAGTCCAGGGCATCACTATTATCTCCAAAAACATCATTCACAAGCAAAGGACACATTCAATATTGAAATATGATATTTGAACGTCCTGTCCACATGATGTGGAAGCAGCTGTTGATGAACTATCCCTCATTAGTCATTAGTGTTCTCTGCAGACCTTCCACCAGGCCCTTGACAAAACCTTTTCAGCTAAATTAATCACAATACTGATTCCAGTTGTTTTTTGTCTCTAACCCAATACAAATAACATCACCACTGAGTCTATCAATAATTAAACCAAACACACTCAATTTTGGCCAATTGAGAATACCATTAACTGTTATCTACTATTTGTTTTTAAGGTATGCCTAACACACACAACTCGAGGCCGTAATATTAATAAACCTAAGTGGATTCTGAGCTAACGCTAACTCTAGTAACAAGTCACGGATAGCCATGCTGCTAATGTAAAGCTAGCTACATTCATTTAGCAGTAGCAGAAGTAACGTTAGTTGTAACGTGAGCTAACTTAAGTTATTTATGTCGGATAACGGTCACTGTTTAGCCTCACTCCCTCATGACTTTCCCTTTCGTATAACCGACCCCAGAAACCCCAAACCACGATGATGTTTAGTGGTGTTTAGTTGAATAAAATTACAGGTGTTTTGGGATATTTTCGCTGTAATTAAAATCACCTTAGAGCCATTTCACACCAAAGCTAACGTCAGCTAGCTTAAGTTCAAGAGCCGAGCAACAGCTACAAACGTAACAAAGCGATGTTGTTTTTACACTGAGAGGTGGCACTGCCTTTTATCAATGTTTTTAAGATATAATAACTATAATTTGTAATCTCATTCCAGTAATTGTGGACACTAAACTAAATGTAATGCCATGCTTAAGACACCAATTGCCTTACCTTGTTTCCAGGTGACTGAACAGAAAGGTTTATGTTATGTCGTTTGCCTCACTTCTTGTCTGCAGAAAGATAAAGGACATTTAAAATATGTCTTAGCTTAGCTAAATAAACTTAGCTGAATTCACTTTCAAAAGTTAAAAAAAGCTCCATTGGAACCAAAATATTGAGCTAAAGTAAGCTAGCTAATGTATTGACTAACAGGTGTATTGTTTAATGAGAATAATTAGGGGCAGCTGGCTCAAACATTGTACATGTAACATTTAGGTAAAAGATGGTTCAGCTGAGTTTATGCAGGTGTGGTAAGGTTATTCTGGGCTGATGATGGAGATAAGGATGAGGGGGTATAAGCAGGATTTGCAGTGAATTTATGAAAGTTTTGTTGGAAAGGGAAACATATGGAGTGAACAGAAGACTGCGGTCAAATAATATGACTTATACAACCTTAATAGTATTAGCTGTGTTACCACACTTTTATAGAAGCAATATGTCATTTCCCTCAAAACATGGCATCTCATGGATTACTGTTAGTAAACTAAAACTAAATAATTAGGCCACTGAGAGTAATATAAATTGTTACACAAGTAGGCCTACTAAATATTTACTTAAGTATCACAGTGCTGAATGGTGATACAACAGAGTAATATAATTGTACACGGTAATAGTACTTTAACAAAAGCATTATAGTCTAGATCCATCATACATGGGAGTTCACTGTGTAGCATAGTTTGTAGAAACAAAAAGTTGTGTTAACCATTGGAGTACTTTAGCCTACCACTATGTATATCATACTGTGGAAGTTATGCAACTTACTGTGTTTTAGTACAATCAGAAAGTATAGTACTAGGCCTATAGTGTAGTAGAAGAATGACATAAGGTATAATGTACTAAGTCAAGTATAGTTGTGCAGTATTTTAAAAGTCTTGATGGCGTGAATCCAAACAAAACCACTATGACCGTTAATAAATACCAGATTTTTTTTCAATGGTATTTCTTTTATAGTAAGGGTTATTAACTTTTTAGTATATTTGTATATAATGCTATGCTTTTTGATTTAGTACCTCAATGGTATGCACTTATCATTAGTGATTGAGGACAGCAGGCTTTCCTCAAGCTGTTTGCGGGATCTGAGGTAAGATGTGTTCAAACCAACCAATGAGCAAGAGAGTCAAACTCATTTGAATGAACAAACTGCATTATCTAAATGAACTCAAGATGCTAACGGTAAACACAGTACACATCCCCATTAAACTGTAATTGGAACTTTACGGTTCGAGATTGAATTAGAGTATAGTTAAGAAAAGTGTTCCGCTTAAACAAAGCAGCTACTTTAACCAGAACAAGGATATTTTGATTTGGACCCATTGTGAACAAATTGATGTGTTTCACCTGTTGTAAAATATCTTTCTTCAACATCTTGAGCTACTCATAAAAAAATATATATTTTATCCAGCCACCAGGTTAGGCAGATTTTGATATGTGTAAAATAATACAAACATGCTCTACCTATCCTGAATACATCCTACAAGTCTAATTTCCAATAAAGAAAAACACTCAACTCATTGAATGCAAAGTGAGTAGAAGTGGGGGGATTTGAGAAGTTCTATAAGAGTTATAATCCCTGCCAGCTCTTTCCTTTGGGCTCATGAGAGCTCACAACAAAAGGTGCCCACCACTATCGCCTATGCACAATTAACTAAAGCACCAGCATTATTCCATTATCATAAGAATGCTGTTTGCAATGGGGGGAGAAACTCCTCGGCATTCATGGACGTTCGACCGAATAGAGCCCAGAGCTTTTATCTTCTCAATTACATGCAGGCTGCATTTATCACAAAACCTAGTGACATGTTTTGGACACTTTTTGTGCATGACAAATAATTAGTTGATGCTGGTAATTTAAATAGCCTGTTTATAATTACAACGTGGACTACAAGTGGGCCAGGAGGGACCGGTGAAGATGTGGGGGTGTAGAATACAACTTGATTCCAGTGGGATCCCCTTTTGTAAAAGACAAACAAGATGAACTGATTTAACTGGGGGAAAAAAAATGTTGTTATCCTCTATTAGGCTTTCCAAAAGTAACATATATCATGATTGACAAATTTGTAAATGTAATGAGAATGTTCAACTTTATTACAATTTGTGGAAATAAGTAATATTTCATTAAAAAACATGATACATTTCCTTGGATGTGTGAGTTTCTGACATCCTCGGCAGTCGGCGTGGTGGCTCCTGTGATTATGAATTCAGAGGACGACCTGTGCAGTAATTGTTCCTCCCAGCAGGAGCCTCGGAATAAATGAAGACTAAATAAGGGTCGTCCCTTACTTTGAGGTTAACATCATTTGTTCTGCATTGCATGTCTTCCTGAGTGCTTTTGATCCGATACGTGGCTGATGAGATTTGGGGTCGTCTTGGAGTTAACTGACCACAAGGTGTCAATGTTGTTAGTAATGTGTTTTTCTCTCATCTCGGTCCCCCTAATGTAAGAAGCAGAGAGTGAAGCAGGGGGTAGAAAATGCCTGCTGGATGTCATGCTCAAATTAATCTAATTGGATGTAGCGATTTGTCTGGAGAGCAGTAAAAGATGGCAGTAGAGCCATCTGTACATGTAGCCAGAGCCACAGTTACACAGGCCTCTGTATTTCAGACTTTACACATACATAACCTCTGTGACGACGTTCTAAAACTACCATGATGGTGACATAATGCAATGTATACAGTGTGTTGAAAGCTGAATCTTTCCTCTTAAAAGAACAATGATGTTTGGAAAGGGTGCAGGCATATATGAGCGACATCGTAGCGCGCTGTGCAGAACAGGGATCATGAAAAAAGAATGCAGCAGCTCCTTTTGTGGAGAAAACCTCATAAACTCCAGCCTCAGATGCAAACGTCGCAGCACGTCTGTGGGGCTACACACACATTCGGCACCGCTCCTCCTGACCATGCAGTGTTGTACGTTTGGGCCACGGTTTCCTTCTCTTTCATGTGTAATTTTAACTTTTAGATTTAGATTCTGTTTCATTCTGACCTTTGTCACATGCTATCTCCATTTCTCAGAAAAGATAATTACCATTCAAAAAGGGCCAAACGGGTGTCTGTCTAGACTCACTTGAACTATACGGGAACTTATGAATGACCTGACTGTTCTATCAATCAAACGGCTCGTAGTTTGCGGCCTACAATTGCCCCTTTTCACATAATTCCCAACCTGGACTCTCACAAGCCAGAAAAAAAACATCAACATATGGGTGGATGAGAGACTGTAATCATCAGATTCATCTGTTGGGCCTGTTCCAAGAAGGTTTAATAAATGATCAGGATAACTTTTTGGACTAGTTTAAAGAGACCTTTTTGGTTCTCAGTAAAGTTCGACATACAGTAAATTCCATTGAGGTTAAATTGACTGACACTTTAAATCAGGCTACAGTATATTTATAGCTAGCTGAACAGCAGAGTCTTGGGTCAGGGGCTGCTCCAAACAACCCCCTATACAGATGTTCTGAAAATCACACAATCTTACATTTAGAAATGAAAAGTTGAATTGATAAGAAATAAAATGCAGTCTGACTCACAGAGCTTTTGCTGTTATAGTCTTACTGACCACTAGCTTACAAGTGCTGACGTTATCATGCGATAGTAAACTTCAGGTAGATGTTGTTTAATCTGTCACTCCCTGTGACTTCCTTTTGGACGCTGCAGCAAAAGTTAAATAATCTTGCTTTAAGGTTTATTACAAGTATTATTAGTGCTAAAATGCGGGAACAGTAATTTCCAATCTCTCCATACGGATCATGTTTCTTTTCTAACTCCATCTCTAGTCACTACTCTCTGGGGGTCTACAGTCAGACTTGGGGACAAATTGGTTGTTCACCACAACAAGAGGCACTTGCAAAAGCTGAACAGAGGACAATTCTCAGTCATCGCTGTTGGCAAAATGTTGGAAAAGATGCATAATGACAGTTAGTGTTAACGAATCTGGGCTACTACAATAATCATTATTTTTACAGTACATGTATGCAATAACTGATCTCCATCATTCCAGGGATGACGATAAAGACTGGACTTTGACAAAACAAAACTGGCTGAGCAGATAAATCCAGATAAATGCTGTGCTCCCTTTCTGAATCAATCTAATGTGCATTAAACGTAGCAGACGGGAAATGAAGCGGGTAAATATTACAACATTTACTTAGTCAGCAAAATTATCAAAAACTAGCTCCTTTATAAGGTTGATGTTAAATGTAGTTGATTTTTCCCTTTAGTTAATTTGTTATAAATGATATGCGGGTTCTACCCCAAGACACACATTTCTTTATCTAGAAAAAATGGCGAATAACTGCAGCACAGTCTGTAAATAAACATGAACAGAAGGAATGTGTTGCTGAAGTTCTGACGAGACAGTCACAGTTCAATATCATAACAAAAACGCACTATTTTCCTTTTTCCTGGCCTCTTTTCAAAAATATTCACAGGTAAGGACAGGCAGAAACCCACAGGAGTGTGTCAATGGTCGGCGTTGTGCTCATGTCTGATTACTGCCCGCAGTGTCCTTTCATTTTGCTCAATGACCGACCAGAGCAGAGATCTCAGTTGTCCAGCTCTCTCCACTGTAAACAATAACATAACATCAGTGCTACAAAGAGAGAACGACAGTCAAATGGGAACCACAGAACAATGTGGTTCCCATTTTAACAGTACATTAGAAAATCATTATCGACAATTTGATCCATGTTGGAAGTTGCATCATCAAAGAGTTGCCAAATGCTGGAGCGAAATTATCTCACCACCTTCATTGGAGGTCAAAGGTGACAGGCGATGTCACTAATGGGGTCTGGTCTGGGAATCAACATCATGCTCCAAAATGTTGAATGTGTACCAAGAGAGAGGATTAAAATACTGTATTTAAAACTAAGAAGTTGGTCGCTAATAAGCAGTGTTAAAAAGCACTAAGATCACTAGTTATGCAAATAATTATGTGGTGCAAAAAAAAATTTGTTTTTGGTTTCGCTTCCTTGCCAACATGTGATTTTACTGGTGAGCAATATGTCTTCAGAGCTGAACCTTAACCTGATAATTCATCCTGCTGTGGAGGAAAAGTACATTAAATATCCTCTTTCCCTTTGTTGTTGATCAAGCAGGATTCTGGTTACACAAAAATACAATACTGCATACTGTGTGTGTGCACTGATTAGTAAAAATAAAAAGCTCTGAAAGGGTCCGAATGATGCTGCAAGTCAACTCTCTTCTCATAAAAAGCTAAATGCTAATGGCAGCAAGCTAACATGCTTCTCTTTTGCAACAATAGATATTAACCATGTTCATCATGTTAGTTTAGCGTGTTAGCATTCTGCTACTTAGCACGAAACACAAACTACCGGAGGGTCTGACGGGGACGTCTACAGTATTGGACAAATTGAATTGTTGAGCTGATGATTGTGCTACACGAAGCATCGGGGGAATCTCCAAAAGTCATGAATATTTGTACCAAATGTTATGGCAATCCATCCAATATTTGACAAGCTATTTCACGAAAAGCCCCAAAAATGTCAACCTGCTGGTGGCGCTAGTCAGTAGAATGGATCCTCTTCATCCAATAGTTTCTGTCTGGACCAAGGTAGTGGACTGACTGATCGACATCTCCATCACCGGAGCCAGGATGCTGAGGGGTGGGGGGGAGGATGTTGCATGTTCTCTCAGATTATAGCATGGAAGCAGACAGCGCTCATTAGTGTGTTCAAGAATAAAAAGGGCAGTTAAAGATGCATCTGGTAAAAATGTAAGCACAAAATACATAATTGAAGCTCCTTTTTTTTGAAACCCTGAGAACCACAGAAGTCTTATTTGCTCTGCTCCAATAACACGAACATTTCATGTCTCCCGTCAAGGACCACTCAACACATGCAGAACAAACACTCATCTGTGGGACCTTCCCCTCCAATTCAAAAGCTTACATCTTTGATTTACAAATAAAACGACATCCACCTTCATTCATTTAATAAAAGCTTGGATATAAGACATTTTTTTTGTATACAGCAAGTGTTCAGTTGTTTCGATGGGAAATCCATTTTCTGATCCAACTGCAGTGAGAGTGAATACACCGCGACTCTTACACGGCATTTCTTCAGACATTCAACACAGTTTGGATCAAACGGTGCGCTGGTTCAGAGGCCGGACTCACCGGGGGGAATATACTCTTCACCTTCTTTTACTGTCGTTGCCAGAAACACTTTTTTTTTTACAAATATATAGATATAGATTTGCTTTTAATATCTCAAATATTTATATAAATAGAAGTTAAAGATTAAAGATCTGGGGCATTATGACAAAGTGCAAAAAGATGTAAGGGGGAGGCTTTAAAAAAAAAAAAAACTGTTAATACCTCCATAAAATTCAACAGCAAAAGATAATATACAACTGCTCTGAAATTCATGAGCTGCAACAGACTGTAACTTCCCGTTTATATTACTACAAACAGTAAGTCAGGGTGGGACTCCCCACAAAACATCTCCGCTTTAAGATCGTCCTCCTTGATCCGTAGATACACGCGAGAAGATACTGAGTGGAAACAAATCTTTAATTCCCACCCAAACCACGGTTGTCCACCATTAAACCCACACAAACCATCTATATTGTGTTGGTATGTTGCGTTAAAACAGAGAAAAAAAAACCAACTGTATGGTGTAATTGCAGGCATGTTAACGAGTTAACTGTACACCGCGGGTACCTGGATAAACCACGTGTCCGCCGTACAATAAAGACCACCGAGCCGGTATCACCAAACCGATCCAAGAGTACTTTAGACGATCGCACACGTTGATGAATAAAGTGTCATCATGGGAAGCACTTGGGAAACGCACAACACGAAACACAACTGATTATGTACAATTCATTCATCATTAGTGCGTAGAGGCTTTTGAGACTAATTCAAAAGACACATTTTGAAGTAGCTGGCGAGTACCAGGTGCTTCGCTGCTCTCCACCACATCGAAATGCTCTCAGTTACTTTGGCTTCATCAGCAAAACACCAGGCCAACTAGAACTGGAAATTACATGCGTTTGTTTTGGACACCTGATGCTACAGGTATGCATGTTTTAAAGGTATTTCAAAGACAATCAAACGCTGCGGAAAGAAACGGTACCGAGCTTGAAGGGTGCAGCAGTAAGTGAAAGCATTTTGACCTGGCCTTGATTTGTACACACACACAAACAACCAAGAGTAATCGCACTGTGTCGAGACAAAATGCCTACTGGAAGATAAACACAGCTTAAAAATAGAGCTATAGTTTTGAACATTGGTAGAGTATGAAAAGGGGCGGGACTGCAGGCAAACAGTTGTGTGGGGCCCTTTCTATTAGAATACTAAACCATGGCCTGGTGTCACAAAATCAACCATTGTTCATCACATGATAAGAGCGTGAAGGCTCGACCAAAATGTGTTTAACTGGTGGTCCAGTAACGAGCCCCCTTCCTCATGTGATGAGCCGACTCCAAGGCAGAGGAGTGATCCCCCTGCTAGTGAAGGCTGTGGCTACGTCCCAATTTTAAAGTACTCCGACAGGTTTAGAGTATTTAGTGTATTCTCACTGGGAAAGTGACGATTCAGTAGACTTAAAAGAAGTCAGCGGGCATACTGAAATTCCTAAAATGAAATACTTTTTTTTCAGTTCCGTTGATGGACCTTTACAGCGCAGAATAAAATAATTTTTTTAGAACTGACCACAGGTTGTTGTTACCTTCGTATTTACCTGTGTTTGAGTATGAACTGGTATTACTTGAAAAACTATTGTAACGAGCAGATTCTGCAAGATTTGGAGAAACCAGGCCAATCTCATCAGTAAACACAGACCTGGGTAGGAGGGCAAAACAGCTCCTATGTTGAGCTCCTATTGAGTAAAAAGGGACAATTATTAATAAATACAAAAATAATAACATATGTACACAATTTCATCAATATGATCTCTCATAATACTTTCAGCATTTCTTCAAAATGCCATAGAAATGATTTTTTTTGCTCAAAAAGTCTGTAGCTCAAACATCCAGGGTCAGTTAGAAAACAAACATTTAAGAACGATAAATTATTGTACAAAAAAAAAAAAGATCCAACACCGTAGTAATCATTCCTTTTTGGATGCAAGTCCTGACACACACGCGCACACACACGCACGCACACGCACGCACGCACGCACGCACGCACGCACGCACACACATACACACGCACACACAGGAGTTCGTGTGTCAGCTTGTTTCTTGCAACATTTAAAACAATCTTCAAATAATATCGGATTTCTTCCTAACTTAAAATACAATTCATTGACGCGGCATCGTTGGTAACACAAACGTTTCTTTTTTCCTTCCCTTGTGTGAACAGGTCCTTGTGTTGCTCTCCTCGAGACTGCTCTGGAGTCAGTGAAGAAGGAGGCGAGGGCAGTAAGGGCACTTTGAACACAGGCATGCTGGAGTGGAAAGAGGGGGCATAAATAAGAATTGTAGAGAGAATTGTGGAGATGTTGACAAAACTCTTCTCTCTTCATCTCTTCCATCTTTGAGGGAAAAGCTGAAATCAAGCGTAAAACAGAGAAAGTGATGGGGGGGGGCAGTTGAGGTGGTATAGATGAAGGCTGAGTCCTACAGTAGTCGTATCAGTAGGTCCTTCAACCATCTAACTCCCAAAAACAATCTCCGTCCCCATCAGCTGACCAGGCACAGCAACCAGGAAAATGGTCAGCACAACCAGTTTAAAAAAAGTTTTCCCCCAAAGATTGTACAGTGGTGGTATTATAAAGAATGCCTTCTAAAACTTTGCGAGGCAAATTCCCTTTTGGTAGGATACGTTTTTGGATACCACCGTCTTGTTCTGAAAAGACCGCGTCAGCTTTCCGTCACAGCGATCCATAAACTACAACGTGGAGAGTGGAAGTTAACGGCCGGCCAACTGTGGGCAAAGTCATTGGATGAACAGGGGGTGACATCGCCCGAGATAAAGCCGTCTGATTGGTGCCGGCAGTGGAAGAGTGGTGAGGTCAAAGGTCACAAACGGTGGTGGTCTGCACAGCTGCCCAACATTCTGTCCGTGAGACAGGTCTCTGTCAGTGATGCAACTTGGTCTGTGGGCAGAAGAAGACAAGAGATTTATTAGCTGGTTTTCATTTATTATTATTATTATTTACTGTATGCAATGCAACTTCTAACAACTTTGAAAAAATATATGTAAAAATTAGCGGAGAGCAACAAATTCCACGTGCCTTTGGAAGGCTTGTTTACAGTCTCTTTCTTTATGTAACACCTACCTGTCTCGGGGACTCGGGCCCCGAAGACAGTATTCCCACGGTGTCGCTCCCATTCCCAAAGAGGCTCTCCAACCCGCCCGGCCTACTCAGCTTGCTGGCCTTCCCTCTGTAAGAGCCGGAACTCCTCCTCTTCCTCCCCTCTGCTCCTCCCCCATAAGCCAAGGGTCCGGAGGGGGAGGCCAGGGGCTGATGGGGGGCGGAGGCTGGCTCCCTGCTGGGTGAATAGGGTATACTGGTCGTGCCAAGCTCGCGACTGGAGACCAGAGGAGGATGGCCATTAATGAGATACATACATATATACACATATATATATATATATATATACACATATATATATATACACATATATATATACACATATATATATATATATATATATA